ACACTAACTTGTGTTGGCTCCTTCCACTTCTTTGAGCACCTCACCCTGTACCATCCCTCTCTCCTCCCTTTCAAAAATTTCCAAGTGTACTGCCCCCCCACTGCTCCCCGAAAACCACTCCTTCTTCTCAGACATCTCCTCTCTCCCTAATCCCTCTGCCTCTGTATTGAGCGTCTGTTCATAATGAACAATTTCAATCTTCACCTTAACTCCTTCTGCCCCACCTTCTCAGATTTCACAGCTCTCCTCACCTCCTTAAACCTTACCCTCTGCATAAACTCCCCGACCCACAACCAGAGCCACTCCCTCAAATGTATCTTTACCCATGGCCTTGACATCTCTGAGCTCTCCATCAGGAACAATATCATCTCCAACCATTTTCTCATCTCCCTCTCGTCTTGCACCCCCCTCCACCAAGCCCTTCACTATCTCATTCCATCCCTGGAAAAAGATTCCCCCTGAGGCCCTTAAAAATGTCTCTCATCTTCAGACCTTCTCTTCCTCTGGTCTTCCACCCACAGCGATCCCCAAAACGTATTGTTGGAATATTCAAAATGTATAAAGATATAAAATGCTGCTCTAAATATCTACGTGGTAAGTAGAAATGTCATCAAATTACATAAAATTAGGTAGACCAGTACAGCACGGAATCAGGCCATTTGCCCCAACTAGTCTGTGCTGTTTTTTATACTCCACCTGAGCCTCCAGTCCTCCTAATTTCCTCTCCCATGTCCCTCTATTTCCTTTTCTATCATATACACAATAAAAAGTTATAAATTTAAGTGCACTTTGTGTTGGAATTTTAGAAAGCAGACCTTCCTCTGTGTGTTTTAAATGTCGGTTAACACACTTATCTACATCTCCTTCTATGGCCATATGGCACAGGGAAGATATACAATTTATCAAGCACTCACGGAGTAATTTTGACTACAGAAAGGGGAAGCCTGCATTAATAGCTTCACATCTGCCAAATCCATGGAGTTCCAGAGCAAATAAATCAAGGTCATTGTAACTTCACTCTCTTTATGGTTTTCTCAACAGTTTCCAGGAATATCCACTAACTGTAATGATTGCAAAACATGACATTTTGGGGGAATTTCACTAGCAGTTTTAGGTCTAATTCATATCTTATGAATTTTCCTAAACTTTCATGTTTTGAATACCATTCATCTCTCTTTCTTGTAATCAAGGACAGCACTTTTATTAAAAGGTTTTTAAGTCAGGCTCATCTAATGTAACCTTATGGATACGGACATTTTGAATTGAGAACTTTTTCCACTTTCAGCAACAACAACAACTTGCATTTATGCAGCTCTCTTCACCCGGGGCAGCATCTCGGAGCACTTTCAAAATATCTGAAATAATAAAACTAGATTGTTGGATTAGATTGTTTTAAAAAAATCAAGGATAATCACGCAAACTGAAGGAAACCAGAAGGAATGTATTTATTGTTACTGCAATAGAAAGCAATCCTCATTACAGCAACAACAACAACTTACGTTTATAGAGCGCCCTTCACTCGGCTAGAGCGATTCACAGTGGCAGAGTCTGACAACCTATCCATTAAAACCTGTCTGAACCACCATCGAGCGAGCAGGCAGGGGGTTGGGCTTTCAAATATTCTGCGCCTGCTCTCTGGAACTCCCTTATGGAGTCCCTCTGACTCGATCCCACCCTCCCCGTTTTCAAGGCAACTCTCAAAACATGCCTCTTTAACTGCACTTTCTCCTCATCACCCACCTCAGCTCCTATCCCCAGCTTGGATGAATATCCATCCAGCACTGTGAACGTGCTTCAGGACAGCCTCTGACTTGAAAGGCCAACACCATTGTGGGAGCACCATTACCCCAAAGATAGTAACGGTATAATAATACTACTAATAATAATGATCCTTGTATTCGATATAGCGCCTTATCACATCTTCGAAACATCTCCAAATGATTCACAGAACACACTCCAAAGTGAATCTAGCGCCTTGGGAAGTCCTCTTGATGTGCAAACATCGAAGATTTATGTGTGATAGCTGAAGTAATTCTGTTGTGGTTGTTGAACTGACTCTATTGTGTGGGCAAAACGCGGCAGACAATTGGACACATACGTTGCCGAGACAGGGTAGTGAGTCCTACCCTGATTGCTGGGGAGCCCACAGCCTTCCCTTTATCATGAGTACCTTAAATCCTTTAGGGATAGCGACAGACATCCCTAATTTTGCTCCTAAATACAATATAAATATATGGAGAATGCCACATTTTCATAGGGATAATAATAATCCTTACATTTAATGCAGTGCCTTTCACATTGCAAGGTCGTCTCAAAGAGTCTTTACAGGATGTACTATGGAGTGTAGAGACTGTGTATTTGTAGGCAAAGAGGGCAGCCAATTTGCACATAGCAATAAGCCACAAACAGCCATTGGTGAAAGATCATGAACACATTTAATGCAATACTGTAAATTATTGCATTAATTCCTACATTTCCTGTAATTGTCAAATATCCTTTTTGGAAAGTTTCTCCAGTTTTCCACTACATTAACTGTGCGTGTTCATCCAATGACTTCAGCTATCACATATAAATCTTCAATGTTTGCAGTTGCTCGCTCCCCCCACCGCCCCAACCCCACACTTTATTACTCCTGGGTTCTCAGTCCCAATTTCCCTCAATAACAGAGACTACCATCAGTAAGATATTTAGTTTACAAAATGCAAATTCTTCCTTCTCACTCAGATCTCTGTGATACTCATGTGTCAGCCTGGCTGGTTGGTATTTTCCCCTCCGGTTACATTTATGGGTGAAGGATCGTGCACCCAAAAAATTGACTCTTTCCTTTCTCCATAGATGCTGCCTGACCTGCTGAGTGTTCCCAGCTACTTCTGTTTTTGTTTCAGATTTCCAGCATCTGCAGTATTTTGCGTTTTGTTTACATTATCAATGATTGGTCCAGACATGCTTTTAAATTATGCTACAATTAACACCAATTTGTGTATTTAAACTCCTTGAACCCAATGTAGTAGTAATGAATATTAATTGTAAAATATATAATCACTCAGCTCAGAGCAACAATCCAATTGCTTAATATGCAGCACAGCCTAGTGGCAGACCTCACAAAAATGTTTCCTGCAGCAAAGATCACTGCACTTTTGTACTGTTCTTCCTTGCCCTCCTCGTCCCGGGGTTCAGTTCAGTAGCTGCCAGAATGCCTTTGGCATCTCACCTGAGTGTCCTTTCATCTCTTGTGAGTCCCAACAATGAGGGTCAGAAAGCTGTGCAGGGTTTGAACAGACTTATCTTAGCCTTTTAATAATAATAATAATAATCCTTGCATTTGATATAGCGCTTTTCATGTCGGGAGGACGTCCCAAAGCGCTTCACAGAACACACTGTAAAGTGAATTGACTGTATATTTGTGGGCGAACGCGGCAGCCAATTGCGCACAGCAATGTCCCACAAACAGTCGTAGATTGAAAATGACCAATTTATTATTATTTTTGGTTTTGGAGGTATTATTATTAGGCGTGAGGAGTAAGGAAACTTGCCCAAGGTTTCGCCCTGATCTGCCTGGAATTGAACTCAAGTCTCTCACTTGCAAAGCGAGTGCTCTAACCACTTAGCTACAGGACTCCACAAAACAAGATCATTGGTATGAGTAAAATGAGGTTTAATCCAAATGAGGTTTGTAATAGCAGTGCATGTCGGTGAATGTGTTATCATCAACGTAGTAGCATATCCTGACTGTCTTTTGTTTGTAGGTTCTCACACGTAGGCAGCAATGACGATTTCCAATCTCTTTCTGGAGCAGCAGACTGGACTTATCAGATCAGTAAAGATAATGAATGGAAAGAGTCCAATTGCCTGACAGGAACTTTAAAGTGGCATCTAAGAATAAAGACGCGGCATCACCAGCATGACCACAGCAAAATAACCCGTCCACATTGGACGCTGCTGAGCCATGGCTGAACCTGTTTTTCTGCTGGTGTCTCGTCACCTCTCTCTGTGTCACACATCACAGCTAAAATACTAGGATCTCAAGATATCAGTGCATTACAGTGTAACATTCATATATCATGCATGTGATGATAACTTGGTAAAGCCTACAGTAACTAGCTAGTTAACAAAGAAGTAAAAAGGCCACGACCGACGTTAATGAATAAAACTTGGTCTCCATTTTCCATTGTTTAAGCAGAGGACCAAACAGATAAAATCTCTGCTATGTTCCACATATAAGTGTATCTGCAAATATGTTGTGTACGGAGCAATATTTTTTGGGGAAAATCCCTCTCAATTTATTAAAATACCTTGAAAAATTATCACACGTGGGTGGGCTTTGCAATATACAGTATTCTTGGGTTGGTTTTGTATTTCAATTTTGTGCTGAAATACCTTCCCCTCCCCACCACCACTTCTGGAGAACAAATTTTCACTTGGCCTAATTTAGATCTGAATCATTGCCTTTTGTAAAGCTCATGACAATTTTTTATTTTTAAATCCTGGCTCTAGAACAGTTTTCAACTTCAGCATCAATTAGTGCTTTAGATAAGGTGAGAACATTTGCCAAAATCTGCTTTATATTGCATTGCATTTGATTAATATATTAATTTACCAAGTATTATTATTATTTACAGTATATCCTTTGAAATGGCTCCTAGTTTGAAAAACATTAAACTGAATGTAAGAATTATTATTATTACACAATGAGTTACTCTGAAATGTAGTGACTGCTTTTCCTTAAGGAACCTTGACAGCATCATTTCACAAAAAGCAACAAAGTAGATGACCAAGTTTGGATGAGGAACAATTTTTTGCTGGACTAAATTGGTCACAAGTACATTCATTCAGTGTGTTATCATGAAAACAAGTGCCTTGCAGAAGGGTAACAAGTTTTACAGCAATACTTGTCAGGTAACTAACAATACCAATGCTTGGTGCGTTACTGTGTGTTACAAAAGACCAATGTATATTTGATATGTTTATGTTCATCTGAAATAAAAGTGATGAAGAAGAAATTGTTCTCAGTATTTTTTAATGAGGGCATTACAGAGCAAATTTATGCTAGGTTTCACCTAGTGGCAATATAGTGGAAAAACATTCCAAATGTCACACTAGAACGAAAAACAATCACATAACAAACCAGATTTCACAACGAGATTCGTAGTAGTCTTTAAAACCTTCATAATACAGTATCCAGATTTAACACACAGTGTATAACACTGAAGATATTTTTCAATTAATCTAGAATTCAAGTGGGATTACTAGAAAGAATGATCATCATTTTTAAAACAAAAAGTCCTCTGTGTCATTTATATCCTCCACTTTGGATCTACTTTGATCTTTACAGTCATGCAATGTTAGTAATAGTTCTTTACGCACTTCCTCATATGCAGATTTCCATCACTAGAAAAAGGTCATTGAAAGCTTGTGAACTTTTGTTCACACCCACACAAGTTCTGTTTGCATGTACCAAGACAGCCACACTAAAATTGGTTTATTTTTCATCCGCACCACAATTATGAACGCAAGGCTGATGAATCAGGGAAGCTAGTTTTCTAATCACCGGTAAAGCCTCATCAATGGAAGCCATCTTACTAACACCTACTGGTATTGCTCAGCAATTCTGGAGACCATATAGGATTTGCGTTTTTAAAAAAATAACTTGATTTAAAATAAAAGTGGTTCTTGCTAACAAAGCAGAGCTTACTTACTCTCTCCTACTGACACAAATTCCACTCAGTATTCCTTTTGTTGGTCTACACAAAATGGGTATTTTAAGAAAAGTCAAACCTTGTGACCTTTATGTGGATATCAAAAGTGATCTTAAAGTAAATAGAATTTCAAGGGCATTTCTGGGGAAGATAGATGATTGTGCAGAAATAAAGGCTTCCTGTGGAAGCTTAAGTTATTCAAGTTAATAACTGGAAAATTGGAAACAAGGCATCTTAGGAATGTGTGGGTAGATGTTTTAAGTTTAGTAAAGCCAACAAAGGCATAGATCCAATGGAACAGAGAACCTGTGGATGTGTTGCAGCAATCGGCAGGCCACAAACTCAGACAGAAGACAGCAGCAAGGCTGAGACCCACCTGGCAACAGTGAAAGATGCTGAGAGATGTGAGAGAAAATGAATTGAATGGATATACCAATGAATTGAAAATGAATTGAATGAGTATACCAAAGTACCACATATCCTACCATGGCAGCAATGAGACACCCGTTTGCTTCCACATCCCAAAGATCTCCTGCTTTCAGACAGCATCCCTTCCAGGAAGAAATGATAGGCATCACGAGGCTATACACCTCTTCAACCAGTTAGTTTGACGCCCAAGGGGGATTAAGGTGGAAACAAGAGACAAGTCTCATTTGCTGTAGGAACCCCTTCCTGGAAGGTTAAAACCACAGGAATAATTACTTAATTACTGATCTTTTTATTTATTTTATATAATTAATTAAACCTCAAGTTTGTGGGGGCAGTTTTTGAAGGAAAATACAAATTTTCTGTAAATAAAATATCAGCAAAACAGCACATAAAGGAGGCCCTTTTTCTAGAACTAAAGTATATAACATTAAATGCTGTCCTGTGCTGGTTACATTACTTTTTCAGTTCTTCCATATCAAAGGAGAAGGGTTGGTCATAACCCATTAAGTGGTGAAAGTCATTGGGGTGCCAGAAAAGCATTGGGTTTACCAGCAGTGACTTTTTGTTTGCATAAAACGTTGTGAACATCTGGCTGACTCCAGGAATCTTCACGTCCTTTTGATGGAAGACAGTTTTCTTCGGCTGAAGCAGAACATTGTAGGTGACCGCTGTATAGGTGTCAGTCTCAGCATTGTGATGCAGACTCACCACGTAACCTTTGGTGACCAGGTGTAAGACAACAGGACTCAGAAAGGTAAAAAATCCAATGATGCCACAGAAGGCTATTTGTAATGCAGGGTTTTGGATTCCAAGGCCAGACTGGAAAAGGATATAGGGCATCACGCAGAGACTGAAGAGACTGGAGGAGTAAGAAAAAAATTTCACCCCTGAAAAGTAAAATAGAGAGCCATTAGACATTGACGTAAAATAAAAATACTGCCGCACATTCTCTAGTACTGTGTTTTAGTACTCCTCGCTCCCTCCCTTCCATCCCCTCACCCTGACCATTTCCCCCCCTGCTCGGGTCCTGACCCAACTATGCAGCGCCTTGGGACGTCCTCCTGACGTGAAAGGCGCTTTATAAATGGAATCTTGTTGTTGTTGTTGTTGTTGTTATGTCGGGCTGGAAAGATCCCAAGAATCCATTCTTGAACATACATCAGAAAAGTCACTGAAGTAATTAATAATAATAAATATTATTATAATAACAAGTGGGATTGTCCCCATTGCAGATAAGGAAACAGTGTGACTAATGAGTCACCAAACAAAATACAAAATCTACAGTGCTAACCAAAATATTAATTCATCAGAAGTTACATTCTGGATTTGTATTGCATTGGGCCAGCGTTTCTCCCTCAACAACTCTCTCAACATTTTTATTTTGTTCTCTGTATTTCTTTCTTCATGATACAAATAATATTTTTTTTCTAATAGCAAATGCCATTTTTATTTACTCTGCACTTGAATGTGGGCTTAATATTTTTATGAGCAACTATGGAATGTAATAATAATCCTTGCATTCCAGGTCCTGGAACGAGTTGTTGCTTCTCAGCTTCGCTGCTTCCTCTCCCGCCACTCCCTTCTCGAACCACTCCAATCAGGTTTCTGTGCTGCCCACAGCACTAAAACAGCCCTGCTCAAAGTGACAAATTACATTCTGTCCACCTGCAACAGGTCTCCCTCTGACTCCTCATACTCCTTGACTTCTCTGCTGCTTTCGACACCGTCGACCACTCTATCCTCATCCACCGCGTCTCTTCTCGCCTCAACCTCCAGGGCTGTCCTTCACTGGTTCAGATCATACCCCTCACATCACCTGCACTTTATCTCCACAACGGCTTCTCCTCTATCCCCTGGACCGGCTCCATGGGCTAGAGGAGGCTCTGGGGGCTAATTTCTAAATTTGCGGACAACACCAAATTGGGGGGAGTAGTTAATACAGAGGAGGACTGCAACAAATTACACAAGAGATTAATAAACTTGCTGAGTGGCCATTTAAGGAAGTCACATACATCCTGAAAAATAAAAATCTAAATGGGGTAGAGGAGCAAAGGGATCTAGGGGTACACATACCATACACAATTCACTAAAAGTAGCAACCCAGGTTAATAAACCCACAAAAAAAGCAAACCAGGAATTGGCGATCATTTCTAGAGGGATAGAAATGAAAAGCAGGGAAGTTATGGCAAACTTCTACAGAACCTTGGTTAGACCACACTTAGAATACTGTGTGAAGTTCTGGTCCCCATATTATAGAAGGGATGTAGAGGCACTGGAGAGGGTGCAAAGGAGATTCACAAGAATGATCCCAGAACTGAGAGGTTATACCTATCAGGAAAGGCTGAACATACTTGGACTCTTTTCTCTTGAAAAGAGGAAGGGGTGACTTGATAGAGGTCTTTAAAATGATGAAAGATTTTGACAGGGTAGACATAGGGAAGATGTTTCCACTTGTGGGGGAGACCAAAACCAGGGGCCATCAATATAAAATAGTCATAAATAGATCAAATAGGGAAGTTAGAAGACATTTCTTCATAAAGAGGAGTGGGAATGTGGAACATGTTACCACAAGGAGTTGTTGAGACAAATAGCATAGATGTATTTCAGGGAAAGTTCGATAGGTACATGAGGGAGAAAGGAATAGAAGGTTACGCTTGAAGGCTGAGTTGAGGAAGGGCAGGAGGAGGCTCATGTGGAGCATAAACACCAGCATAGACCAGTTGGTCCGAATGGCCTGTTTCTGTGCTGTAAGTATTCTAATGTTTTGTGCGGCATTCCTCAGGGCTCTGTCCTTGGTCCCCTCCTCTTCAATATCTACATGCTCCCTCTTGGTGACACCATCCACAGACATGGGGTCAATTTCCACATGTATGAAAGAGTTGTCGCCTCCCAGCTGCGCTCTTTCTTCTCCACCCATTCATTATTCGAACCCCTTCAGTCGAGTTTCCATGCTGCCCATAGCACAGAAACTGCCCTGGTCAAGGTCACCAATGACATCTTGACCATCTGCGACCAGGGCTCTCTCTGCCTCCTCATCCTCCTTGACCTATCGGCATCATTCGATACGGTCGACCACGCTATCCTCCTCCACCGCTTGTCCTCCCACTTCAACCTTCAAGGCCATGTGCTTGAGTGGTTTAGGTCGTACCTCTCCACCGTCTTCACTTTGTCTCCACGAACGGCTTTTCCTCCGACCCCCGCACTGTCTGGTGCGGTGTCCCTCAGGGCTCTGTCCTCGGTCCCCTCTTCTTCACCCTCTATATGCTCCCCCTTGGTGACATCATCCGCAGACATGGGGTTAACTTCCACATGTATGCGGATGACATCCAACTCTACCTTTCCTCCTCTACCCTCAACTCCATGACCACCGATGTCCTGACAGCCTGCCTGTCCGACATCGAGTCCTGGACGAGAGACAACTTTCTTCAGCTCAACGAGCGTAAAACTGAGGCCCTCCTGATTGGCTCTCGTCAGCGCCTCCGCACCTCTGGCGCTGACAGCATCAGCATCCAAGGCTGCACTCTCCACCTCTCAAAGTCAGTCAGGAACCTCGGTGTTCTGTTCGACCCTGAGCTGTCCTTTCTCCCTCATATCCGCGCCACAACTGGCACCGCCTTCCATCACCTCCGGAACATCGCCAGACTACGGCACTACCTCACCCCTCACGCTGCTGAAACTCTGGTCCACTCCTTTTATCACCTCAAGGCTGGACTATGGGAACTCTCTCCTCGTCGGCCTTCCCGGCACCTCCCTCCACAAGCTGCAGGTCATTCAGAACTCTGCAGCTCGTGTACTGTCCCGCACCAGGCTTCGGGACCACATCACTCCCACCCTCGCTCGCCTCCACTGGCTCCCCATCCCCCAGAGGATCGAATTCAAGATCCTCATCCTCACCTACAAGGCCATTCACGGCCTTGCTTCCTCCTACCTCTCTGACCTACTATCCCCCTACCTACCTGCCTGTACCCTCCGTTTCTCTGGCTCCAGTCTGCTCCACATCCCCCGCCCCAACCGCCCCACCATCGGTGGCCGGGCCTTCAGCCTCTCAGCCCCCAGGCTCTGGAACTCTATCCCCCAGTGCCTTCGCCGCCTCCTCCCTTTCCTCCTTCAAGGCCGGTTTCAAGACCTTTCTCTTTGACCGTGCCTTCAGCTCCCCTCTCGACTCTCTACCCCCTCCTCGCTCACTCCCTTCCCTCCCCTCACCCTGACCATTTCCCCCTGCTCGGGTCCCGACCCAACTGTACAGCGCCTTGGGACATCCTCCCGACGTGAAAGGCGCTCTATAAATGGAATCTTGTTGTTGTTGTTGTATGCGGATGACACCCAATTCTACCTATCTGCGTCCACCCTTGACTCCAGGACCACTGCTGTCCTAACTGAATGTATCAAACATCAAGTCCTGGATGAGAGCTAACTTTCTTCAGCTGAACGTCAACAAGACCGAGGCTCTCCTGATTGGCTCCCGTCAACGCCTCCTCACCTCAGGCGCTGACAGCATCACGATCCATGGTTGCACACTCCACCTTGCTAAGCCAGTCCGGAACCTTGGGTCTTGTTTGACCATCCACTATCCTTTCTACCCCACATCTGCGCCATGACCCGCTCTGCCTTCCTCACCTCTGCAACATCACCCGGTTCCGCCACTGTCTCACACCGCAGGCCGCCGAAACCCTCATACACGCCTTCATTACATCGAGGCTCGACTGTGCAAACTCGGCCTCCCCAACTGTTCCCTCCACAGGCTGGAAGGTTCCTCCAGGTCTGGACTCCTCCTTGTCCCCGAGTCCTCCACTCCACCCTCGGCGGCCGTACCTTCAGCCACTATGCCCCGAGGCTCTGGAACTGCCTTCCTCACTCCCTTCGTCTTGCTCCCTCCCTTCCCATTTTCAGGTCTCTGCTGAAGACCTTTCTTTTCGACTGCGCCTTTGGTTACCTTCCTCCCCCTCCCCCTGGCTCAGTCCCGAGATCCGTGACTGTAAAGCGCTCTGAGACTCCGTCCGGTGTGGAGGGTGCTATATAAATCCAAGTTGTTGTTGTTGTTGTTGTTGTTGTTGTTGCAGATCATCCAGAGCTCTGCAGCCCATGTCCTCTCCCTCACTAGGCTTCACAACCCTATCACACCCAACTCCACTGGCTTCCCTTCACATAGAGGATACAGTTCAAGATCCTGTTCAAGAACTCCATCACTCAGTCCCTCCGCCTTGCCACCTCCCTTGCCACCTTCAAGTTCCATCTCAAGACCCTACTCATCAACCGTGCTTTCGATCTCCCTGCTTCCTCCCTGCCCTCCACCCTCCCCTACCCCGACCCCCAGCTTGGGTCCGTAACTCTGTCTGTCCAGCACCTTGGAACATCCTCCCAATGTGAAAGGCGCTTTACAAATGTAATTTTGTTGTTGTTGTTGTTGCATTTCACAATTGCAGGTCAGAGTTCTTCTCCTATGGAAATTTATGCTACAAATCAAAGCAACAACAATTTACTTTAAATGTTACTTTAAAGGTGACTGGGTAGCCAAACTGGGTGAGGGGAAAGGTGGACCTGAGTGGGGTGGAGTGATTGGGGGGCTCACCGAAAGCACAGTGAGGGCAGTAGATTTCATCTTTTATCTGGGGATCAAAGATTTCAAAGCAAGTCAACAGATTTCAAAACATTTCAATTTCAGTATTAGCGATAAGTCGACAAACATTACAACAAGTGAAAGGGCAGTTTCATCTCTTACCAAGCACCGCCCTGGCCATGTTCCCAGCATAGATCAATTGCCCCTTCTCGCTCTCACTCTCATCCGCCGAGGAAAAGCAGCGTAAGGACTGACCAAACGAAAGGCGTATCTGCACAAAGAAGAAAAGTGCTTGTATTATTCTCTGTGATCCTCTCCCCGGTCACTCTCTGACTCTTCCCGATCACTGCCTGGTCCTCACCTTCAAAGCCCTTCACAGCCTGACACCACTCCTCCCTACCTCCGTGACCTCCTATCCCCCTACTAACCTGTCCACTCCTTACTCTCAGCGGGCTCTGGCCTGCTTCACATCCACCCCCCACCCGCCTTGCCCGCCTCACCATTGGCAGGTGGGCCTTCGGCCACTCTGCCCCTACCCTCTGGAATGCTCTCTCGCTCTGGTCACTCTCTCTCTCTCTCTCCGGTCACTCTCTCCAGTCATTCTCTATCTCTCTCTCTCCCCGGTCACACTCTCTCCCACCGGTCACTCTCTCTCTCTCCCTAGTCACGCTCTCTCTCCACCGGTCACTCTCTCTCTATCCCTCTCTACCTGGTCACTCTCTCCCCCCGGTCACTTTCTCTCTCCCTCCAGTCACCCTCTCTCTCCCCGGTCACTCCCTTACCCTCCCCAGTCACTCTCTCTCTCTCCCCGGTCACTCTTTCTCTCTCTCCGTCTCTCTCTCTCGCTCCCTCCGGTCACTCTCTCTCTTCCCGGTCACTCTCTCTCTGGTCACTCTCCCTCTCTCCTGGGTCACTCTCCCTGTCTCCCCGGTCACTCTCTCTCTGGTCACTCTCTCTCTCTCTCCCCCCGGCCACTCACTCTCTCTCTCTCCCCAGTCACTCTTTCTGTCTCTCCGTTCTCTCTCTCTCTCTCACTCCCTCCAGTCACTCTTTCTCTTCCCGGTCACTCTCTCTCCCCGGTCACTCTCTCTCTCTCCGGTCACTCTCTCTCTCTAGTCACTCTCTCTCCCCGGTCACTCTCTCTCTTCCCAGTCACTCTCTCTCTCGTCACTCTCTCCCCGGTCACTCTCTCTCTCGTCACTCTCTCCCCGGTCACTCTTTCTCTCTGGTCACTCTCCCTCTCTCCCCGGTCACTCTTCCTCACTTCCAGCCACTCTCCCTCTCTCCCCGGTCACTCTTCCTCTCTTCCAGTCACTCTCCCTCTCTCCCCGGTCGGTCACTCTCCCTCTCTCCCCGGTCGGTCACTCTCCCTCTCTCCCCGGTCACTCTCCCTCTCTCCCCGGTCGGTCACTCTCCCTCTCTCCCCGGTCGGTCACTCTCCCTCTCTCCCCGGTCACTCTCCCTCTCTCCCCGGTCGGTCACTCTCCCTCTCTCCCGGGTCACTCTCACCCTCTGGTCACTCTCTGACCCTCTCACGGGTCACTACCTGTGCGGTGTAGCGGCCGAGCCTCGGCGCCGCTCTCCCCGGCCTCTCAGTGTCCAGGAGGCGGCTGTGGCGGCTCAGGCTGAAGGCGCTGAGAGACCGGGCGGCGGCCCCGCGCAGCCCCGCACCACAGCCCCCCCAGGAAGCGGGCCCGAGGCCGCGGCTGCAGGAGAGGCCGCTCCGGAGGATGGCGCCGACTCGCAGCATCGTCTCCGCCTCCAACAGCAGCTTCAGTGAAGACACAGACCCCGAGTGTCGGTCACACAGTACAGTACAATACAATACAATACAATACAATACAATACAGGCCGCACCCCCTCCCCCCCCCACACACACACACTGTACAGCCCCCACCCCCTCACCCCACAGTACAGCCCCCACCCCCCCCCCCACACACACTGTACAGCCCCCACCCCCCCTCCACACACACTGTACAGCCCCCACCCCCCCTCCACACACACTGTACAGCCCCCACCCCCTCACACACCCCCCCCACACACACACACACACACTGTACAGCCCCCACCCCCTCACACCCCCCCCCCCACACACACACACACACTGTACAGCCCCCACCCCCTCACCCCCACAGTACAGCCCCCACCCCCCCCCCCACACACAGTACAGCCCCCACCCCCCTCCACACACACTGTACAGCCCCCACCCCCCCACACAAACACACTGTACAGCCCCCACCCCCCCTCCACACACACTGTACAGCCCCCCCCCCACACACACACACACACAGTACAGTCCACACCCCCCACACACACACTGTACAGCCCCCACACACACAGACACCACCCCCACACACACACACTGTACCCCACACACACACTGTACCCCACACACACACACTGTACAGCCCCCCCCCCACACACACACTGTACCCCACACACACACTGTGTACAGCCCCCACCACACACACTGTACAGCCCCCCCCACACACACACTGTGTACAGCCCCCCCACACACACACACTGTACAGCACCCCCCCACACACACTGTGTACAGCCCCCACCACACACACACTGTGTACAGCCCCCACCACACACACACACACTGTGTACAGCCCCCCCCACACACACACACTGTACAGCCCCCCCACACACACACTATACACCCCCCCACACACACACTGTACAGCCCCCCCCCACACACACACACACTGTGTACAGCCCGCCCCTACACACACACAGTACAGCCCCCCCCCACAAACACACACTGTGTACAGCCCCCACCTCACACACACTGTACAGCCCCCCCCCACACACACGCACACACAGTGTACAGCCGCGCGCACACACACACACAGTGTATACAGCAACCAACTACACTGTGTACAGCAACCTACCACACCACGTGAAGCAACCAACCAACCACACTGAATACACACAGGGCACACTGTATACAGCAACCACACTATTTACAGCAACCAACCAGACTCGGTACATAGAACACACGCCAACCAGACTGTGCAGCATTCCAGTGCACTTGTGCCATGTGAAGGCCTCTACATAAATGCAAGTTGTTGTTGTGTACACACCAACCACACTGCTAGTGATTAGGTACACTGGGTGTAACCCACTGGGGCAGAGAATGTGCATTTCATTTCAGATTCAAGGAAATTTCCATGTGGAACTCACAGGTTGGATTTGATACTCTTCAGCAGGTTGATGGGTTTCCAACATGGTGATGTCAGTCGGCTAATGAAAAAAAATACTCTGAAGGCGATTTTTACAATATTCTTAGCAGTTGCTGTGTTGAGGCACTTCAGAATATGTATCAAGACCTTGACTGAAAAATTATTAAATTTGTTGGCCTCACCACAACCTTTTTTTAAGTTCATGATTTACTTATTCTGAATCCAAACATTGGTTTATCTCAATGAAAGCGCTCGGAGACTCTCCCAGGTGAAGGACAACAACAAAATTACATTTATAGAGCGCCTTTCACGTCGGGAGGATGTCCCAAAGCACTGAACTGTCAGGTGTCGGGGCCCGAGCATGGGGGAGGAGTGGTGTAGGGGTGAGGGAAGGCAGAGAGGTGGGAGGGAGACTAAAGGCATGATTGAAGAGAAGGGTCTTGAGTCCGGCCTTGAAGGAGGCAAGGGAGAAAGCGAGGTGAAGGGATCGTGGGATGGAGTTCCAGAGAGTGGGGGCAGAGAGGCTGGGAGTGATGGTGTCGCGGAGCCTGGTGAGTGAGAGTTCACGAGCTGCAGAGTTTGGGATGATCTGCAGCTTGTGAAGGGAAGAGTTGGGAAGGCCGATGAGGAGGGAGGGACGCTATGCAAACGCAAGTTGTTGTTGTTACTGTAACCTAACTAAATTCAAATCAAGGGTATGTTATTAAAGCTTTTTTATTTGTCAATCCAAACAATCAAAAATCCATCACTCTAAACCACACCCTTTATCCCACTCCCAATACACTCGTGATGCCATTACAATGTCTAATACGAAATGATGATATTTTTGTTTGTTTTGAGGTAATAGGGTAGATATCACAAATTTTTGGTCACCTGGACTTCCTGCCCTTCTCGTTGGCCCTTTGATTATCAATTTACTCTTAAAGAAGTTACCTTTGTTGCCCCAATGCCTTCGGAAGTCCTCTGGACCTGATAGGCTCCATATAAATGTGATTGGTGGATTGCATTCAATGGGGTTGATAATCCCTTAAAAAAACATGTGGTCATTTAATCCATGACTGGTTTGTGGGATATTGCTGTGCGTAATTGACTGTGTTTTGCCCACAAAATACACTGAATCCACTTTACAGTATATCCTGTGAAGTGCTTTGAGACATCTCGACGACGTAATAAGGCGTCAAATGCAAGGATTATTATTAGTTGTTGTTGTCCTGTTGTCACGAACCTCCTTTGGCCAACCTCTCCCCCATTGGGAATGGTGGGGGGGGGCACTGTTTATTTCCACAACAACATTGAGAATAATGAAACACAACCGTCTTTCAGGGACGATCATTAAATAGGATTTGATCTCCTTCCTTCACTTGTGTGAGAGTCAGAGAGGTGTGTGTTGTGGGGGGGCTGTGTGGGGTAGGGGGCTGTGTGTGTGGGGTAGGGGGCTGTGTGTGTGGGGTAGGGGCTGTGTGTGTGGGGGGGGGTGCTGTGTGTGGGGAGGGGCTGTATGTTGGGGGGCTGTGTGGGGTAGGGGCTGTGTGTGGGGGGAGGGGCTGTGTGGGGGGGCTGTGTGCGTGGGGTAGGGGGCTGTGTGTGTGGGGGGGGTGCTGTGTGGGGGGAGGGGCTGTGTGGGGGGGCTGTGTGGGGTAGGGGGGGGTGTGGGGTAGGGGGGGGTGTGGGGGGGGTGCTGTGTGTGTGGGGTAGGGGGCTGTGTGTGGGGTAGGGGGCTGTGTGTGTGGGGGGGGGTGCTGTGTGCGGGGAGGGGCTGTGTGTTGGGGGGCTGTGTGGGGTAGGGGGCTGTGTGTGGGGGGAGGGGCTGTGTGGGGGAGGGGCTGTGTGTTGGGGGGCTGTGGGGTAGGGGGCTGTGTGTGTGGGGGGGGTGCTGTGTGGGGGAGGGGCTGTGTGGGGGGGGCTGTGTGGGGTAGGGGTGTGTGTGTGGGGGGGTGCTGTGTGTGTGGGGGGGGCTGTGTGTGGGGAGGGGCTGTGTGTTGGGGGGCTGTGTGGGGTAGGGGGCTGTGTGTGTGTGGGGGGGGGTGCTCTGTGGGGGGAGGGGCTGTGTGGGGGGAGGGGCTGTGTGGGGTAGGGGTGTGTGGGGTAGGGGTGTGTGTGTGGGGGTGTGTGTGTGGGGGTGTGGGGGGGGTGCTGTGTGTGGGGAGGGGCTGTGTGTTGGGGGGCTGTGTGGGGTAGGGGGCTGTGTGTGTGGGTGGGTGGGCTGTGTGTGGGGAGGGGCTGTGTGTTGGGGGCTGTGTGGGGTAGGGGTGTGTGTGTGGGGTAGGGTGTGGGGGGTGGGCTGTGTGTGTGGGGGGGCTGTGTGTGGGGAGGGGCTGTGTGTGGGGTAGGGGGCTGTGTGTGTGTGGGGGGGGGGCTGTGGGGGGGGGGCTGTGTGTGGGGAGGGGCTGTGTGGGGTAGGGGGCTGTGTGTGTGTGGGGGGGGGCCTGTGTGTGGGGAGGGGCTGTGTGGGGTAGGGGGCTGTGTGTGTGGGGGGGGCTGTGTGTGGGGAGGGGCTGTGTGGGGTAGGGGGCTGTGTGTGTGGGGGGGGGTGCTGTGTGTGTGGGGGGGTGCTGTGTGTGTGGGGGGGGTGCTGTGTGTGTGGGGGGGTGCTGTGTGTGTGGGGGGGTGCTGTGTGTGGGGAGGGCTGTGTGGGGAGGGGCTGTGTGGGGTAGGGGGCTGTGTGTGTGTGGGGGGGTGCTGTGTGTGGGCAGGGGCTGTGTGGGGTAGGGGTGTGTGTGTGGGGGGCTGTGTGTGGGGGGGCTGTGTGGGGGAGGGGCTGTGTGGGGGCGGGGCTGTGTGTGTGTGTGTGGGGGGGCTGTGTGTGGGCAGGGGCTGTGTGGGGTAGGGGTGTGTGTGTGGGGGGGCTGTGTGTGGGGGGGCTGTGTGGGGGAGGGGCTGTGTGTGTGGGGTGGGGAGGGGCTGTGTGTGTGTGGGGAGGGCTGTGTGTTGGGGCTGTGTGGGGTAGGGGTGTGTGTGTGGGGAGGGGTGTGGGGGGGTAGGCTGTGTGTGTGGGGGGGGGGTGGGGGGGGCTTAGGGGGAGGGGGTAAAGGTTGCCCCTGGTGACCTGACGGAAGTGGAGCGGTGTGTTTCCGGGTCGGGCTCTGAGCGGCGGCGGCGGTGGAGGAAGAAGAAGATCGGCGCCGTCTGCTGGTAACTCTCTCGCTCTTCATATCACCGACAGGACACGCTGACCGGCAGCCAGACCGGCAGCCCGGCCCCGGGCTGACACAGCCAGGGAGAGGGCGGCGGGGGGGGAGAGGGCGGCGGGGGGGAGGGCTCCTTGTGTGACTGAATCGCCCCGACACTCACTCACTCACTCACTCACTCTGTGCCGGAGCCGCTTCCGTTTGATATCGGTTGAGAAGGGCCCGAGCGCCTCCTCTCTCCCCCCCCCCAGGGCCGGGCCGCGGTTGTTGATAAGCAGTCGGGGCCGCGCAGGCCCTGGTCTGGCCTTTTCCGGTTTATCTGTTAACCTTATATAAGTGAGGCCCCGAACCCAACCGCCCCGAACCCAACCGCGCCCGTCCTGTATGGAGGCTTTTCACTTCATACGGATCGACAGCGGCGATGGTGGGCATCGGTTTTGTGTGTGCGTGTGTGTGTGTGAGGGGGGGATTGGTGTGTGTGTGAGGGGGGATTGGTGTGTGAGGTGGGGGGTCAGTGTGTGAGGGGGGATTGGTGTGTG